CATACAATCTTGCCTGTGCTTAGTTCGGGCTTATTAGGGCTTATCAAATTTTTAATTTTTAATTTTATCCACTATACATGTATATAAATTTAAAAGTCGAAATCCTTTCTCCCAGGTTTATAGTGAGTAACTGCTGCCCCTGCACCTCTTTCAGAAATCTTTGAACTCTTTTAGTCAATTTTTGTATATTAACCTATTTATTTCTAAGTAGCTGTGCTTTTAAACTTGATATTTCTGTTTTCAATTTTATTTATTTAGGTCTCCTGTGCTCTCCACCAAATAGACAAGAACTCATTGGTGTCTAATATAGATAACCAAATTTGATGTGGTCTATTTCTTCTTGATTTTTTAAAATTGTTATTATTTGGATTATTATGCCTGTGTAGTTTAAATGGCAGAGGCTGTTCGATTTGTTTTTCTAGAGCTAATTCTTTTCTCTTAGTTGTTTTTGGACCTACCCCTGTTTTGTACTCAAGGTTTCTTACAGAAGTGTTTACCTCCTGTTAACATGTTCAAGAAAATAATTTGATAGTTCCTTTCTTTCTTGGGTTCGTTCCTCGTGGAACCCTCTGTCCTCCAGCCTCATTTTTGACTGGCAGCTCTGAGGTCCAGTTGTGTAGCTCTCCTTCTGAGATCTCGCCCCGTCATCTCTCTCAGGGTCAGAAAAACAGGAACTGACTAGCTATTTCAGCAGAGCTGGGGTTGGCGTGCATTCATGTGTTTTATGATTGGCACCTCTGTTCATTTTGGCAGTCTGCGAGAAGTCACAAATTCACACGCGTACCTTCAATTTCAATCTGGCAGCAGAGGGTTCCTGCAAGGTTTTTCCTCTCTTGGGCTTATAAATCCTTTCTCTGACAGCAAAAAACCTGACTTTCCGTAGTCTTAGTATATTTAGTGATTTGATCCATCCCCTAGTTTAGCCAGTCTCCCATCTTCAGGCGAACATTCCCCTCCGTCTTGTTCTTGGATAGCCCATGCCAGTCCCATCCCCAAGCCCCACGTGTAGATGGCCCCTATGCTGTGTAGGCTCTGACACCCTATCTGCGCCCTCATTTGACATTCAGGCCCTCTGCCCCTCTCCCCCCAACAGCAATGTCCTTTCTTCCCCCGTTGCAGGTGCCCAAGTTGCTCTGCTCCCCCAAATGTCCTCATGACTCAGTTGTTCAGGAAGGGAATCTCAAGGGCCAGGATGCACCACCCGATTCCATCTTCCATTCTCCCAAGGTTGTTCTTTCTTCAGTCTTCGTATATGAAGGAATACTACTGTCCGTGGATTTACGTGAGCCCCAGATCTAAACACCCTGGAGTCTTTGCCTTTTCTCCCATATTTGTAGTGATTCCCAGCTAGATCCCGAGCAACGCCAATGGATCCACGTTGCATCCTGCAAAATCCCCCATCCTTGTATCATTCCCCCTTTCCACTGCACCCGCCAGTCTCCTCCCTGGTGTGTTCCTCTTTCTACAACGTCCCACCTCCCACGATCCGTTCTCAGACAGTGGCCAGGACGCTCTTAAACACATAAGGCATAATGACATTCGAAGTCCTCCAGCGCTTCCTATTGTACTTAGAATAAACCCCAGACCCCTCCGTGGTGTGAAGGACTTAGATCTGTGGCGGTTAATCCTGCTTGCACATTGGCATCACCAGGGACCTTTATAAAGCACTAAGCCTCGTTCCCACCCAAGTCCAATTAAGTCAGAATAGTTGCAGGTGTGGCCTGGGCATCGGTAGTTTGAAAGGTCCCCTCGTGGGTCTCCTGGGTGCCCAGGCTTGAGAACCATGCCTCCGCCTTACCACCTCCTTTTTGCCTCCTCCCGTCTTCCTCTCTGGCCCTGAGCTCTGGTAGTTAAATATTTTCTTTGCCTTTGAACTTGAAGCTTACGCCTGTCTCACAGCTTCCTCACTCAGGTGCTTCTGCCTGTAAGTTTCTTTCCCCAGGTCTTTCCTTGGTGGTTCCTGTCGGCTTCTCAGAGTGACCGTCCCTTAAACACGATGTCCCGTGTTACGCTTCTTGGGTATTTCTTCTTCTTCGTACCGTCATTATCTCAGATCCTCTGATTTATGTTTGTTTGTTTTACACTAGCGTGTAATCTTCATGATGACTCTTGCTTTCTGCTATACCACAGTGATTAGTTTAGTGCGTAAGAAACATTTGATATTTGTCATTGGCTGCATGTGGCGTGGTAAGGGGCCTGTTAGCTAAAAAGTGTGCGGCAGCCAGAGAGACACTCGGTGGGTGAAGTGAACTGGAACAGGAGTTTTGACTGATGAGATAATCCGAGAAGCCAGACAAAGGCAGTAGCTGTGATGGTGGGATTAGGAACTCTCTGATATTTTCAAATTGGCGAGGGCAGGTTTTTTTATCTGAACTGGGGCACTCCCAGGAAAAGAGAGACGACTTGTTATCCTACTGGAAGAACAACTCTTACCATTGCTTGGTTGCTATGAATTTATTTTTGAGACTGTTATTTCACCTTAGTGAAGGGCAGAGTAGCCCTCTGGACTCGCCCCCCTCATTCTCCTCTTTTTTTTTTTTTTTGAGACAGAGTCCCACTATGTCACCCTGCGTAGAGTGCTGTGGCATCACAGTTCACAGCAGCCTGGGCTTAAGCAATTCTCTTGCCTCAGCCTCCCAAGTAGCTGGGACTACAGGTGCCCACCACAACATCTGGCTATTTTTTGATTGCAGTTGTCCTTGGTGTTTAGCTGGCCTGGGCCGAGCTCAAACCTGCCAGCCTCAGTGTATGTGGCCGGTACCCTACTCACTGAGCTACGGGCGCCGAGCCTCTTTAATAACATAGTACTAGAGAAAGCATCTGAGAATGTGCCAGCCAGTTCATAGTACCCATTGGTTATAGATGCCTGGTGACACAGCCTTCACTGCCTCTCTGCTTCACGAATCACAGCCCAAGAGCATGCCGTATTTAATTATGCCTGTCTTACTTTAAATATGTGGGACTGATTGGGAAATTGCATTCTTGCTTCTATGACAATCCAGGTTTGCAATGTGGAAATGAGCAAACGGACTCGTGAACTCTTAACCGTATCCCATGCAGTTACTAGCTGTTGAACATACAGCGTCCTGGCAGCTTGTGATTAAAACCTCAGAGTTAGACAGGGTACTCCTACCATCCGACGCCAAGGAAAATGAAGGTTCACTTTCCCAGATTCCAGCATGGTAATTTTGTGCCTGCAGATAGGGGTTAGACAGAAGCCACAATCCTAGAGAAAACTTCGGCGGTTCAAAAAGTCTTTCAACAATGACAGGTGTAGGAGGCGTGATTCAGTGATGAATGGCTGTGCAAAATACTGTTTACAAAAGCAGGAGAAATTCTTCTCCGAAAGGGGCGTGAAGTCTGTATTGTGCTTGGCTTTATAGGGCACAGAAAGATGAAAACTGTTTGGAAAAGATGAAAGAATTGTTTCCGAGCTTGTTGCCCCAGCCCGCCGACCTTGGGATGACATTGAAGCCATTCATTCATGCAAAAGCTTTCTTCATGGTTTCACAGAGCTAAGCGAGTGGGTCCAGATGGGTCCAGACGCTTGAGGCCTGGGGAGAGATGCTTGGCTTGGTGTTCTTCTTACACTGGGATCACCTACACCCTGGCTTCCTCAGCTGAGGGCTGTGTTTCCTGATCAGGTATCTTTTTCTCAACCATGTGCCTTGGTGCAAACCACAGTTGCACATAGAATCTATCCCACTCCTTCCTGTACACCATACCCAAATCCTTTCAATTTGTGAATGCCACTGACAGTTTAAAATTTGTGAAACTATTACTGCATCTTTACCTGAAGAAGGGAAACTCAATTTTGAACTTGTCACATGTATAAAATAGATTATGTGTTTTTTTTTTTCTGGGTGATTTCATGTAGGACAAGAGAGTCCTAGAACCCTGATGGCAGATTCCTGAACATATTAAGTACAGTTTGCATTGCTTGATGGGTGTGGTGCCTTTCACGTATCTGCTACTTACAACAGGGTTTTACTTAGGCACAGTCACCGTAGTGACACCTTACTTAATGGACATGGGAAATGAGGAAAATTATTACAGTGAACTATCTATAGTAAGTATCTAATAAGTATTTAATATAAAAAGTCTATTCACAGATTAAATTATATACTTTCTCTGCAAGATAGAGGGATGGAAGATGTCCATATGTTTGCGTCTTTATTGGAATTTTTAAAGAAGTTAAAGCCTCAGGTGGTGCCTGTGGCTCAAGGGAGTAGGGCGCTGGCCCCGTATGCTGGAGGTGGCAGGTTCAAACCGAGTACCGGCCAAAAACTGCAAAAGAAAAAAAAAAAAAGAAGTTAAAGCCTCTATCTAAAGCCTTAGCAAGAAGACCCATGAAATCTTCTTTGTTGGGTGGGGATGCTGATAGAACTCCTAAGGATTGCACAAAATGTTATTTTATTATTTGCTTGCGGTTTTTTAAGATGCAAATATTTGTATAGATAAGATTCGCTATAACCATTAAAAATTATTAATTCTTAACCCGGGAACTCGGAAGAGTTAGAGCAAATATAAATCATTTTGAAATATCTGTTTTAACAGTATAAAGTGACATATTAATAGGATGTATACCATGAAAGTCTGTAGTCATTCATGCAAACCATTTATGGAAAGGAGCTTTTTTAAAAATTAAATCATAGCTGTGTACATTAATGCAATTATTAAAGGAGCTTTTAATTCAAGGTATTGAAGTGGTAAGAGGTTGGAATGACTTCCACCTGGGGGTTTTGCTTTGCTATTTCTCTAAAGGAGTAGATATGGCTAGATTCTACTGAACTTTAAATCTTATTATTATGAAAAGGATACAGCTCAAAAACAGACCTGGCTTTTTATTGTAAAACAAACTGAAATATTCATATGCTAACGTGTCTGCCCCTTGACTCTTGGGTTTCATCTCAGGATCACTCCCAGAACACGAGAATGTACATTGCTGATATGTTATCTGGAAAACATGAAAGATTTTGTGTTCTCTTATGCCCTGACAGGTTGGTACAGAGGATATACCCTCCAAAATAAATCTAAAAAGGTACGGCTTATCATTCCATTTTCTATTTTGTTTGAAATCTCTCTGCTGGTTTTGTGTTGTGCTATCTGATCCCCTCATCTGCTCACTGCTTTTGGCAAACCTCATTGCTTGCTTTTGATGGCTCGTCTTATGATTGGAAGGCAAACTCTCTAATCTTAATGTTTAAATAAAAATCATGTAAGCCCCATAAACTGTATTCCCTACCACCTTGCCCCAGCCCCTCAAGCTGAGCATGATGATAATACTCTGTCCTAGCTGGTCTGTCTTCAAGGAGGGGAGGACTCTGCCCCTCCCTCTGTCCGTTACTTCCACTGCTAAAATCTCAGACTAAAAAGCTCTCCCAGTTTCCACTCAGTTCTTTTTTTCAATGTAAACTGAGATAAACCAAAATAGTGCTTTTCAAACTGAGCTTGACAACTCCAATAATACATCATGAGATCAAGATAGTGGCTTACAGGCCAGGCACAGTGGCGCACGCCTGTAATCCTAACACTCTGGGAGGCTGAGATGGGAGGATTGCTTGAGCTCAGGAGTTGGACACCAGCTTGCAGGAGAGCGAGACCCCATCTCTACTGAAAAACAAAAATAAGCCGGATATTGTGGTGGGTGCCTGTAGTGCCACCTACTTGGGAGGCTGAGGCAGGAGGATCGCTTCAACCCAGGAGTTTGAGGTTGCTGTGAGCTACGATGATGCCATGGCACTTTAGCCTGGGCAACAGAATGAGACTGTCTTACACACACACACACACACACACACACAAAGGTACTGGGTTATAACCAATATTTTCCAGAAAATGCAACTGAAAAGTAAAGAAGAAAATGTAAAGGTAAATATTGTCTCGTTAAACTTTTGCTTGAGGTACATATTTTCAGGCATTTTATGTAAATTGACCACTGAAGGGACTGTAACAAACTGATTGACACAGGGATGTGGTCAACATAAGGAACTAGGCCTGCTATCCTGACAGATACGTGGGGTGCATGTCCCATCTGTGAAAATTAGGTTAACTTAAGGAGGTGTTCAGTGTAGGGAGGTGGTCAACAACATACTGTACTTTTTTTTTTTTTGAGACAGAGCCTCAAGCTATCAAGCTATCCCCCTGGGTAGAGTGCCGTGGCATCACAGCTCACAGCAACCTCCAACTCCTGGGCTCAAGTGAGTCTCCTGCCTCAGCCTCCCAAGAAGCTGGGACCACAGGCGCCCACCACAATGCCTGGCTATTTTTTGGTTGCAGCTGTCATTGTTGTTTTTTGGCGGGCCCAGGCTGGATTCGAACCCACCACCTTAGGTGTATGTGGCTGGCACCTTAACCACTTGAGCCACAGGCACCGAGCCAATGTACTGTACTTTTAAAGATTTGTTGTATTTTGTGTGTGGGACTGGGTTGCCACAACAGTGCATCTCTTACTGTTCATTGTGGGCAGAGTTTGACAAATACTGACCCAGACAGTTCTTTTTCCCTGTGCCAGAATTGTTAATCATTGGGCTAAAGAAAATCTATTAATTACGTTCGTGCCTCCCACAGTGGCTTTCGGGGCCTGTCAGCACTCTGCCTTTGATGCTGCTCGCTGGGCCAGCAGAACATGTCAGCACTTTCTTTCAAAAGAGCAAAGTTGATAGGGCCTTATCATTTCACAATTAGTTCACATGCCGAATAGTGAATGAGGACAAGGATGAGAGAGATGCTTCAGAACTTATCAAAAGGGGAGTGAAAGAAACCCCCCAAACCCAGACTTTTCAGGAGAGAGACATTTTCCTGTACAGGTAAACTAGTGTTGAATGCCCGACTCTCAAAGAGCACAGGGCCCAGCAAAACAGCTTTCTGCAAAACAGCTTTCTGCAAAACACAGGGGTGTCTAATCTTTTTTGCTTTTTCTGTAGCATGTTAGAAAAATAAGAGTTGTCTTGGGCCACACAAGTAAATACGCAAACGCTAACAAAAGCTGATGAGTAAAAGAAAAGGTCTGGGAATACTTCTGTGATACTGACATCACAGATAAACAAAACAGTCCTCAAATAACCTATATGTGGCCCGAGGGCTACAGGTTGGACACCTCTGAGTAGGCCGTCAAAAACCAGGACTATTTTCTGTGCTGTTGAAATTCACACCCACTTTTTGCACACGTGTGTGCGCACACGCACATTTTGTTAAATTTGGGAACTTAATAATCTAGCAAAATTAAGGAGCTTTTAGAAATGCAAGTATGGGCTTGATGCCTGTAGCTCAGCGGCTAGGGTGCCATCTGCATACACTGGAGATGGTGGGTTTCAATCCAGCTGGGGCCTGCCAAACATCAATGACAACTATAACCAAAAACAGCCAGGCATTATGGTGGGTGTCTGTAGTCCCAGCTACTTGGGAGGCTGAGGCAAGAGAGTTGCTTAAGCCCAAGAGTTTGAGGTTGCTGTGAGCTGTGACACCACGGCACTCTGCCAAGGGCGACACGGTGATACTCTATCTCAAAAAAAAAAAAGCAAGCCTCCCACAGTTTTGGTCCTTTTATCTCTGCCCAAACCCTGATAACTGAATTTTTCTGCCCGCAGTTAGATTGTTGAGCTACCTTCTTTTCCAGGCTAATTATTTTCCTTTACTCTCTTGCTGACTTCAGTTTCTCTGGGCCATCAAATCGAGCCCTAAGAGGCAGGTGTGCAGGAGTAAATGAGAACAGGACAGGGAAGACCTTTCTTGTGAGACCCTCAGTGACACGGAATGCCTGGTGCGTTGCCATTCCTGCATCTGAGCCCTGGTTAAGTTACGCAGAATTGTGGGACTGGTCGCTATTTCAAAGCATGATTAAAATTCACAGCTGGGATGTCCCAAATTTGCTAAAGAGTGAGAATACTTATGTCATTTAATTCCCAGTCCTTTATTTTTTAAAATTAACTTTTTAAAATAAACAAAAAAATTTATCAGATAAAATCACATGATAAACTTTTTTTTTCCATTTTTTTTATTAAGTCCTTTGTACATAGATCATGAATACATTTATGCCATTATGGGATTCAATGTGTTGATTATTTGTACAAATTGGAGTGCTTACATCCTACTAATCAACATGGCCTTCACCTCATTTACCCAATTACAGGGTTAAGACATTTGTGTTCTACACCTGATAGATCCAACTTGTACTTGCAATATGCTCCAATCATAATCATATGATAATCTTAAGGAATATACAATATGCTTGAATTTTGTTTTTTGAGACAGAGTCTCACTCTGTGCCCTGGGTAGAGTGCAATGACATCATCCTAGCTCACAGCAGCCTCAAACTCCTGGGCTCAAGCATTCTTCCTGCCTCAGCCTCCCAAGTAGCTGGGATTACAGGCACCAAACCCAGTGAGTTTTTCTATTTTTAGTAGAGATGGGGGTCTTGCTCTTGTTCAGGCTGGTCTCGAACTCTTGAACTCAAATGACCCTCCCACCTGGGCTTCCCAGAGTGCTAGGATTATAGACGTGAGCCACCACACCCCACCAAAATGCTTGTTTTTTAACTTGTCAATGTCAGTTATGTTGAATCAGAGTCCTAAACTATAGGTCTGCCTTTTCAGAGAGTCTGCTGTATAGAAGAATCCTTTTGATCATAGAAAACTTTGGTTTCTAAGGCATCCTGTGATTTCCGAATACAGTGGTCCCTCTACATTTGTAGAAGATTGGTCCCAGGACCTCCTGCAGATTCCCAAATCCACGGATGCTCAAATCCCTGATAGAAAATGGTGCAGTGTTTGTATCGAACCTGTACACCTCCTCCTGTATACTCTAAATCACCTCTAGATTACTTATAATCCCTAATACAATGTAAATCCTATATAAATAGTTGTTGTACTGTATTGTTTAAGGAAAGCAGCTGGTACATGTTCAATTCTTTTTTCTGGATATTTTCAGCCTGCGGTTGGTTGAATCCATGAATCGGAACCCACAATACAGAGGTCCACGTATATTACTCTATAGCGAAATCCATCTAGCTCAGGCATCCTCGATCTATGGCCTGCAGGCCACATGCAGCCCACGTAGGATATTTATCTGGCCTGCTGGGTGTTTTTGCTGCCACTGCCTGTCCTGCTTAGCAGCCAACTCATCCGGGGGCCCGCAGTCCGGCCCTCCAACGGTCTGAGGGACAGTGAACTGGCCCCCTGTTTAAAAAGTTGGAGGACCCCTGATCTAGCGAATAGTACTCTTGTTGACTGCTTTGAAAAGGACATGGACAGGGTACCCCATTCGGATTTGCATAGCAAGTTCTGGATGTGGTTTTAATCTTTTTGTATTCAGTAAAATATTTTTAAAACCCTTTATGGTTAAAACTTCACCCTTGGGAAGAAGAATTTCCATAAGAGCTCTTTGTTGTTGCTCATTCAAGAAAAGCTTAGTTATTTAATGAAATGATGGCACAAACAAGGGCCCTGCATGTTACGTTGAAATATTTTTCTCGTAGGGCAACCTAGGAAAAACAGAGTCAATTCAAAGTCACTCGTCATGAATGGCGCTCAGCTTTTGACCCCCCTTCATTAAGCCACCTGGCCCATTACAGACGGTCTCTTAATGCCCTGTGCCTCATTTCTCGCCCCTTGCAGGAAGCACTGCTTGAAAGCCCTCTTATTTTAATGGACATTCTTGGTGTCATTTATAAGCTTCCCTCGCCATTTAAAGTGGTGATAAAAGGAGCTCGTGGTTTTATAAATTGAAGAAGCCAAAAGCTTTTTCAAAACCAATGATCGATCCTGGCGGGATTATGGGCAGGTGGGGAAAGGCAACATCCAGGAGGTCGTTTGTTTATCTTTTTACTCATGTGAGTGGATTGCATGGAAGAAAAAAAAAAACAGAATGGAGAGAGGCCGTAAATGAGAAATATATTATCTGGGCTTCCTCTGGCTTTCTGTGTGTCACAGTGGCTTAGGAATTTGTCAGAGCAGTGCAATGACTGTGGATGCCAAGTGGTACCACGGAAGGAGGACGCCCTGCATATGGCGGGTGGTATTGTGACAAAGCAGATGTCTCTTCTTATGAAAGTCACGGTGTCTGTGCACCACGGTAAATTACCTGCTGATGATCTGCTTCGATGTCACAAAGTCCATTGTGGCTTATTTGTATTTCGGAATACGTCTGTCTTGTGTATATCTCAATTATTAGGATAGACCAGTCACCAGATTACATATGCATGAAGATTTTAGTTGGTCTTTTACCTCCTTTTTAAATTTTTATTTAGGTATGTACCTAAGGATGTATATATTTTTTTGAAACAGTTCCACTCTGTCACCCAGGCTAGAATGCTGTGTTATCATAGCTCATAGCAACCTCAAACTCTTGGGCTCAAGCAATCCACTTGCCTCAGCCTCTGGAGTAGCTGGGGCCACAGGCACCCACCACAACACCTGGCTATTTTTTTGTCGTCTTAGTAGAGACACGGTCTCACTCTTGCTCAGGCTGGTCTTGAACTAAGCTAGGCGATCTTCCTGCCTTGGCCTCTAGGACTACTAGGATTACAGATGTGAGCCACCACGTTTGGCCTGCCTTTTCTTTTTAAAAACAATTTTTTTTAAATTGAAGTAAAATATACTTAAAATAATTTACCATCTTTACCATGGTTCTTTACTTCCTTGATTTGAAAAACCTTTCACAAGGATTCCTTTGGACTAGTCGTGTTACCTTTTAACTTCCAAATCTGGATCCTCATAACTGCTCTAAACAGTTCATCCTTACCCAGCACCCCAGCCCCCTTTTGTCGATGAGTTCTGGAATTTTTTTTTCCCATTGTGGTAAAATACACATAACACAAAATATACCGTTCCAGCGTGTATAAGTGCACAGCTTAGTGGCATTAAGTACATTTACCTTGTAATGCAGCCATCGCCATCCATCTCTAGAACTTTCTCATCTCCCCGAGCTGAACTTCTACACCCATAAGATTCCCTCCCAGGCTCCTGCAACCCCTGTTTGACTTCGTGTCTATGAACGGGACCATTCGGGGGACTGCAGATGACTGGACTCATCCAGTGTTGGTCCTTTTGTGGCTGCCTTATGTCCCTGAGCATGATGTCCTCCAGGTGAGTTCATGACAAGCAGGCATGGCTCTTCACAGAGGAGAGAGTCAGCAGGTCAACAGACAAAAGAAACACCCTGATTTCCCTGGGCAGCCTAGGGACAGATCTGGAGCTTCAGAACCCCAAAGAATTGCATACACATTGAACTTTTTTTTTTTGGTAGCAATATGTCTTATATTCCTTAGGTCAAGGGATTCTTTGGCCTCAGCCTCCCAGAGTGCAGGATTATGGGCATGAGCCACTGGGCCTGGCTTCCGGCCCTTTTGGGTCCTTCTGCATGGTGGGCGAGGATGGCCATTTTGCTTCTGACTCAAGCAATTACAGGATCTACCCTGTCATCATCACCAAGGCTGGGAGCAGCTTAATCTCCAGTGTTCTTGCTGTTTCCTGTTTTATTGGCAAAGGATTAAAAGGGAAAAGAGAGAGTATTACACAGACAAATTTAGTGCACGCAGCTGCATCCGAGGGCAGCCCTGCCGATGTTCACTGGTTTCTAGTCTCTGCATGGATGAAGGATCCCTGGGTGCATGTGGTCCTCGGACCATAGTCCCCCGGTCACCAGGACATCCACTCCCACCCTTATGGTCAGCCACCCCTGAAGTGCAATATCTACTGAGTTCATTTCAACTCTTCCAGGAGCAGAGCTCAGAGCAGTTGAGCTGATAGTCCTAGCTACACAGGTTCTTTATATAAAAATGCCACAAAGAAAAGATCAGCGATGGCTTCTGATGGCGTCATCTCTGTCTGGGGATAAGCGTATCATGCAGTGATCCAGCAGAAGCAGCTTTTGGTGTTTAAGAAGATTCACATCTAGAACTTCCTCTTGGTTAGGTTGGGTCCTCCATTCTTCCTTTCTACCCAGGGGTTTCTCATCTTCTTAGGTCTTTCTGGGCCTTAGTTTTCCCCGTGGGCAATGTCGCAATACTGACGTAGAATGGCCTCTTAGGGGCACAGAATGGAGAGCGGGAAGAGTGCAAAATGCTAAAAATAACAGGTAGCCAACACTCCTCGATATGGGTGCACTTGGTTTAAGCAAAAGTGGAATTACTTTAGAAACTCACTCATCTTTTCTGGGTCACTGAAGTTTTGTGTGGCCTCTGTCTCATTTGAAGTCCTGTAAGAGAAGCATCTCACGGCATGGAGGAGCTGAGGGGTTTGAGGAGCTCACCATCGAATGCTTTACCCTGATTGTTGCTCTGAGCTCACCGGGCATGTTTGCCTCTTCATTTATGAAACATTTATCTTGTGCACTTTGATCTCAAATCTTAATTTCTACTTGTTTCGTGTTTCCACCGTGAGGTGACCAGTCCACATTACCCATGTTCTGCAGACCTGGCTGCAAGGTGTAGCCGTGGTCCAGGTATTCCCATTCATTCTTGCCGTGATTTATTCTCTTTACTTTGGGCTGAGGTTTTTCATGGCCGTATAACCAAAGTTCTTTTCTCTGTAGGGTATTTTCCCTGAAACATACATCCATTTGAAGGAGGCGACAGTGGAAGACCTAGGGTAAGTCTCGACCTACAAAGACTCTTGGATAACGATGAAGATGTGAGATTGTCATTAAAGGATGCCCTGTGTCCATGAACCTTTCTCTCCTCTCATCTGTTCCACTTGTCCTCACGTGAGAGGGGAATGAATGGAAACTTCTCCACGACATATTCCTTCCTCTGTCTTCTCTTGCGATAACTACGCCTCCTTGGCTTTTTCCCCCAGAATGAACCGAGGGCCTCCCCCTCTGTCCTGCGTTTGTGGCCTGGGCACTGTGGGGTCTGCGTGTGTGTTGGTGTGCATGAACATTTGGAGCCATTCGGTTGCTAAGACCTGAAGAAGCCCCCAGTTCAGGATCTTTGAGAGATAGATGAGTAAGCGACAGGCTGCACACACCTGCTCTGAGCCTTGGCTAAGTCATTTCACCTCCAGGGCACCTGGGGTTTTTCACTCCCAAGTTGGGGAAAACAGTCTGGCCCTGCAGTGGTCATGAACTTGATGTGAGATTCAAAGGGCCTACTGTGTGTGAATGTGCTCTGCAGATGTGATCTGTTCCATTTTTAGTATTTTTATTTCTTACCCACTTTTGTCCTGGGAAGTACTGCCTTCTTCACAATTGTTAAGAAGGGTGAGATGCTCGGCCCAAGTGGGGGAGAGAGGCCAGTTTTAGGGGAAGAGTCTATAACAGGTGTCCTCAAACTACGGCCCAAGGGCCATATGCGGCTTGCCTAGGACATTCATCCGGCCCGCCGGCTGTTTTTGTTGCCACTGCCTGTCCTGCTTAGCATCCGACTTGTCCCGGGGCCTGCAGTCCAGCCCTCCAATGGTCTGAGAGGCAGTGAACTGTTTAAAAAGTTTGAGGACCCCTGGTCTATAACATCAGAGTCCTGGAGGCACTAAGGAGAGGCTGGGGTAGGGCTGATAGGGAGGACAGTGGGGCAGTGGGAAAAACAGGCAGCTGGGCCCCAGGGCCACTCAGCCTCAGAACTGGAAAGAGCCTTTTCAATCATAGAGCAGCACCAGCATCTCCCAGACAGGAGCTGAGACGTGCTCAGATTCACACAGCTCTTTGTTGGCAGAAGCAGAACCACAAAGCAGCTCCTCTGTCCTGAGAAACCCGGGGCTCATTCCTGGGCAGCCTCTACTGTCATGGCCGCCATGGGGGAGAGGCAGCATGGGAGGTGTATTTCCCCTACTTAGCGCTGCCAGATAAAAATGCAGGATGCCCAGCTGCATTTGCCGTTCAGGTAACAAGAAGTAATTTTCCATAGTATGTCCCAGATATTTCGTGCGTCATACTTTAAAAAAAAAATCCCACTTATCTGCGATGAAAATGGATCTGGGCATCGTGGTGGTTCCTTACTGAGCCTGGCAGTCTCACCACCGATCTCTGTTCATTAGCTGGTTCCTGCTCTTTTGGTAACTGTAAAAGGACCAGAGAGGACTGGTGGGAATAAACACAGTGCCTCTGTTTATAGAAGTCTTCTGTGAGTCAGCAGGATTTTGGTACCTGTGCACTTTTGGTCTGCAAAACCCCAGTTGAGAAGATGACCCAGGACCATTCCAAGAGAGGGCACTGCCTCGGCCCCTCTCGGCGGGTCCAGGGGGAGGTCAAGTCCTCGGACCCCATGTACCATGCACACCCCTCTACCTACTCTTCAGAATGAGATAGCTGCTTAGCAGAATCAGCTAAAATGTGGAGTGTTTTGTTCCTTTTTTGAGAATCAGTGAGGTTAGCATGGCTCAGTGATCAAAGCTTCCAAAGAGATCCACAGTGGGAAGGTTGTGGCCGGGCTGTAGCCTTTGCCATAGAAACTGAGTTGTTTGGGGGCCTGCGCTGTCCTGAGCTCTTTCTCCCTCCTCCATCAAATGCTTTCAGATGATGAAGTGCCCTATGGATGAGTTTTCCATTGGTTCAAGCCCAGCTAGCTCCAGTCTTGTCCTTGAGGTTTGGGGCAGAGCCAGTCTATTGGGAGTAAAGTGAGCGTCCCTTTGGTTCTCTTTAGACAGCACGAGACCGTGATTCCAGGCGAGCTGCCCCTGGTGCAGGAGCTCACGTCGACTCTGCGAGAATGGGCTGTCATCTGGCGGAAGCTCTACGTGGTGAGTTTCCCCTGGGCCTCGGAGCCCAGTGTCACTCCTACCTCTCAACCTGTTGGTCCTCAGCAGGCATTGGCCTTTTATTAGCTGTCTTCATGGAGCAGGACACATTTTCCCTGGGCCACACGTGGCAGACAATCAACAGATTCTCCTTTGCCCCAAGTTGGATCATTGATGGGGTAGCGAGTGTAACCATTAGCTCAGGGCTTACTCAACGGGCGATCATGCTGAGTGTGAAAATGACAGTGAGCATAGTCACTCATGTGGTCCTTTGAAAGTGCGGGAAACTATGATCCTCACAGCCCTCCTATAAAGTATTAGGACTGTCAATTATTACTATCAGTTTATCATAAGGAACTTGGGCGCCATGGTCTTAGCATCTCAATGTAGAGCAGCAAACAGACGTTTGTAAATACTTGCGTGCTCAGCCCCGGGAGGATGGTGCTCTTTGCCTTGACTGGTGTTCATTACAGACTCACAACTTCAGTGCTAAGGTGTGGTCTGAAGGTTGTCTTCCTAGGGGGGACTCACCGTGCTTTTTCTCTCAACACAGGTCTGAACTCAGAATGCTACTACGGCATTCTGGTTCAGGGGGAAATTACATAGGAGCCAGCACATCCTCCCCAGTCTGCAGTTAGGACTAAGGGAATCTAGCATTTCATACTGTCTCACTGAGGATGAGCTACCTTGCAAGACACCAAGGATGCTCAAAGGGTATTGGCCATAAGCTGGCCACAGCCAACAGTCTAGGAAGCGCTTCCTTTGGCATTGGAATCCAGAAAGACTGTTTATTCTAAAGTTGCCTCTTTGGGGGGACAGAGTCTCACTCTGTTGCCCTCGGTAGAGTGCCGTAGTGTTCACGCAACCTTAAACTCTTGGGTTCAAGTGATCCTCTTGCCTTAGCCTCCCAAGCAGCTGGGACTGTAGGCATCTGCCATAATGCCCAGGTATTTTTATTTTCTATTTTTAGTAGAGACAGTGTCTTGCTCTTGCTCAGGCAGTCCACTTGCTGTGGCCTCCCAGAGTGCTGGGATTATAGGCATGAACGGCTGGGTTTTTATTCAGTTGTGAGTTGATTCTTCATTTTAACTCTCAGAAGCTAGTCCTAATAACTCACTGGAACCATCTCCCTCTAGACCTCAGTGAGTACTGAAAGCCGTGATCAAAAGCTCATTCCAGCGTGACTTCTAAGCATTCATGTCGGATACTTCATTTCCAGTCAGGGCTGTTGCTTCCCGTGATGAATCATTGTGCTAAAAATCACCAGCTCCTCTGGCGGAAAAGCCTTCTCGTCCTCCACAACCTCATTAAAGTACTTTGCTCTAAATTGTCTTCTACACGAACCAATCCATAATGTCTCCTTCTGGACTCCAGGGGCAGTTACTGCCCAGCCCATCATCTGGCTCCTGGGACACACTGCCTTGTAATAAAGATGATCTTTTGATCTCTTTATGTTCTTTTGAGCAGAGAGCTCATGTTAAGCTCCTAAATCATCAGGAGGACCGTGATGCTGCCATCAGCCCTGTGGCCTGCGGTGATCATCTTGCACTTACCTTGGGAGCATTCTCTGTTTCTGGTTGCTTGGTTGGGTAGTGGCGGATGTAACAAGGTTGATGGATGAGGAATTGCATGTATATGGGTTCAGCCTTTAACATATTCTTTCTGGGAAAAATGGTGGGTGGTGAAACGTGTTAGATAATAAATATTGGGAAAGAAAAGTTTTCTGTTAGGGCTTTTTTTAGAGACAGGATCTAGACCCGTAGTCTAGGCTGGAGTACAGTGGCTCCACCATAGCTCACTGCAAACTCAAAACTCCTCAGCTTAAGTGATCCTCCTGCCTCAGCCTCCCTAGTAACTGGGACTACAGGTACATTTAAAAAAAGATTTTTTTTTTTTGAGACAGAGGCTCACTATGTTACCCAGGGTAGAGTGCTATGGCCCTCACAGCTCACAGCAACCTCCAACTCTTGGGCTTAAGAAATTCCCTTGCCTGAGCCTCCCAAGCAGCAAGGACTACAGGCGCCCGCCACAATGCCCCGATATTTTTTGGTTCTAGTTCTCATTGTTGTTTGGCAGACCCAGGCTGGGTTCGAACCCGCCAGCTCCAGCGTATATGTGGCTGGCGCCCTAGCTGCTGAGCTACAGGTGCCAAGCCCACATTTTTAAATTTTTTTATTAGAGATGGTTTCTCACTACATTACCCAGGCTGGTCTCAAACTCTCAGCCTCAAGAGATCCTCTCACCTCAGTTTTCCAGAATGTTGGGGTTACAGGTGTGAGCCACTGCACCCAGCCATGGAGAGATTTTTAATGTTAAGAGTGGAGAATGTAGACAGGGTAGACTTTTTCTCTTGCAAAAGCACGTATGTCGTGCTCAGGTTATTATCTGGGTGCTCTCTACATCTGCAGGTGATTGTGCCAGGGTACTGTTGAAAAGAACTGAGGAACAGGTGGGTGAGGATGAAGACAGAGGCTCGAGCATTTGGGCTGCCTAAGTCCCCAACTAGTTACAAGTGATACATTCTGGTTAGGGATTTCCTGGGAGGAGAGTTGACTAGCAGCCTTGGGTTGTAAGTGGGTGGAAAAAAGCCACCCCCTCACCGAGGGCAGCATACTTCTCAGCTTAACTTAGTTATCTAATAAGGTCATTATTTTGGCATTTGCGAATGTTTCAAAATGTCTCGTAGCTGTTGTTGATTGACTAAAAGGCATTCACTGTGGGAATTCTCTACCCGGTTATCAGGGCTGGGCAGTCTGCTCCTGCCCTTGCTATGTGATATCCAGTAAGGGATAATCCACTCAAATTGGGCTTATTCTTCATCAGAGCTTTCTCTGTTCTTCTTTCTGCCCTTCCTAAAGCATTGACTGTTCACGTCAGGCGGAATTTCTGAACTTGTTTCTGGAAAATTTACATGTCAAAGTAACAAACCTCCAATATTATGTTACACTGGGAAGCAAGTCAAAGATACCCAGACCTCTAGGGTTTACATCCCACCTGCCTCTTGTGTACTCTTAGGGGTGTTTTTGTTTTCTGATTAGGTACGTAAGTAACTTTAGTTCGTGGAAACATCAATAGCCACTTCACCCGTGTGGATCAGCACTTTCATTTTTTTTCTCTCTCCATTTCCTCCCATAGATTAAGAAATCAGGCATTCTGCTAAATGTCTTTAAATTCTCTAAAATGCATTTCTTGGTTCCGTTCTTTTTCACCAGAAATTTACATGGAGGATTCAGAGTCTTACAGGAGGGGAAAATGGAATCGACTAGTCGGATTAAGTCCAGCTGCCAGATATTGCTGTTTATTCAAAAATGCCAGGCAGGGTATCTCACTTATAGCCCCAGCACTTTGGGAGGCCAGGGTGGGAGGATCACTCAAGCCCAAAAGTTTAAGACCAGATTGGGCAACATGGCTAGACCTCATCTCTTCAAAAAAACAAGAAAAATTAGCTGGACGTGGTGGCACAAACCTGTAGTCTCAGCTGCTCAGGAGGCTGAGGTCGGAGTATCGCTTGAGCCCAGAGGCTCAGGCGGCAGTGAGCTGTGACGATGCCACTGCACTCCAGCCTGGGTGACAAAGGAATATTCTGTTTCAAAAAAAAAAAATTATTTAAAAAAGGAAAAATATTTATGTAGTTATGACTGGCTGTGATGTATTTTTAGTAATCATTCAGTAACCCTATGAAATAATCTTAATACATCTTTAGGGGGCGGGGGGAGTGTCTGTACCAGACAGAGTGGAACTTTCTCATCTGGAGTAGGAAACAGAAGCTCCGGCCCCCCTCCAGGGGCCCCTCCTTTACTTCGTTATATTAGCATTATTGTTTAATGTTGAATTGCTTTTGCTGGTGGGTGTCGGCCTTGTGAGATGAAGCATATGGTCAGAATCAGGAAGCTGCGTGTCCACTGTCCCCATGAGCTCTGGGTTCTCCGGTGAGTCACTTGACGTCTCTAAGCCTCTGCTGGCTTTTGCCCCACGGGAGAGAGTGGTGGCTGTGAGTCACTCTGCCGACAGACCCTCAGGGATCCTGCATACGGGAGCCTGGGAGTCTTCCTGTTATCTTAACTGGAAACAGAAGCTATCTGGGCGTCCTCCCTCTGGGCAGCCTTGGCTCAGCTTCCCTCTCACCCCACGGGCTGCCCGAGGCTCTGAAGCTCCTTTCTGGGTGCTCCCCCTGCTCCTTATCCAAGGCCACGTCCTTTGTCTTGCGTGGTTATCTTAGGTGGCGTGGCCTTGAGCCCTCCGCAGCCTGGCTCACTTTCTCCGCATCGATAGGGAGGCAAGAGTCACCCCAGAAGGCAGCATGCAGATTCACAGCGGTTTCCCGTGAGCCTCATCTGCACTTCTGTCCCTCTCTGGAGCTGGTCACCGGGTGTGTTCTCAGTGGGTGACTGGGAAAGCAGGGAACGTGTTTAGGAGGTCACCTGGCGCGGTGCCGAGACTTTGGCCGCGCATGTCAGAGAGGCTGGCCAGTTCTTACTTTCTAGGTCACTCCCTTCCTGGCTCTGCACTTTTTATATTCAGAAAAAACCAACAAATCCAGTAATAGTTACTGAAAACAAACAAACCCAAACAGAAAAGACTTGGAGGGGAAAAGCTACTTGGCTGATCCCGCAGCCTGAAACACAAATCCCTTAATCGCCTGAGTTTTATTTTCCTCTCCTAAAGTGGGGATTATATATAACATATGCCTTGCAGATTTACCGTAAGAGTCAGTGGGATCATCTGGATAGCACTCCCACGATGGTCCCTGCACACTGTCATCAGTAAGTGACAGATCCCGACTGTCCCCTTGCAGCTCTGCTGCTTAGAAGAGCTGAGGGGCAATGAGAAGTGTGAGGAGCACAGGGAGGTTTGCCTGGCAGGTGCGCTCGCCTGCCTGCTGTGGTCAGTCACTGGTGTTCCAGCCTGAAGCAGAAGGGCGAGAAAATATCACCCGTCACCTGTCCAGCCCCAGCTACTTCCCTGCTCCAGGATGATGGGTTTTAAGTTTTCTGTCCACTATTCTCAGCTGCCTCCCAGCATCTTTTTTTTTGCCAGCCCTGGAAAGGAGATGGAGGAGCTGATGGCTGCTTCTTTTCCTCTCTGGCCGCTCCCTCCCTGCTTCCACCCACGCCCCAACCCCATGTGCTGGACGGATGGACACCAATGAGTGGACGTGGGCATGGTGCCACTCACGCAATGCTCACTTTACCTTTTCAGGAACAAGCCACCTGTACTTTTTGAATAGGAACAATTCTACCTTAGAAGTCACGGTATCCTGTTTTCTCAACTAAAAAGCTGGCCTTGTGCTCCCCCCGGCAGCACGTATAGTAACATTGGAGTGATACAGTGATGAGCATGGCCCCTGGGCAAGGGTGACATGCAGATTCGTGAAGCGTTCCATATTTTTATGCAAGAAATGAATAAATAGGCTCAGTGCCTGTGGCTCAAGTGGCTAAGGCACCAGTGACATACATCCAAGGTGGCAGGTTCGAATCCAGCCTGGGCCCACCAAATAACAATGACCACTGCAACCAAAAAATAGCCAGGCGTTGTGGCGGGTAGCTGTGGTCCCAGCTACTTGGGAGGTGAAGGCAGGAGACTCGCTTGAGCCCAGGAGTTGGAAGATGCTGTGAGCTGTGACACCACAGCACTCTACCCAGGGAATAGCTTGAGGCTCTGTCTCAAAAAAAAAAAAATGAATAAATAAAACTTTGGCTCATGAAAAAAAAATAATCTGGTCTCAAAAACTGACAAGTTTAGAGTCTATCTGTAGGGACGGTGGGACCAGAGTCTTCAAACACAGGTTGCTATAAACATCCTGTACCCATCTCACCCTGAGATTTTTTTTTTTTGGTTGCAGTTTGGCTGGGGCTGGGTTTGAACCTGCCACCCTCGGTATATGGGGCCGGCGCCCTACCCACTGAGCCACAGGCGCCACCCTCTAAGATTTCACTTGGCGCTGTGAAAGCATCAGTGAGTTGTGGACGATCAGGCTGTGTTCTGCCTGTATATTTGGGAGACTGGATCTAATCCTATCTTATAGGAAAAAAGATAGAACTCTTGATGGTGCAAGGTGGTTGATACAGAGTATTGAATCAGATGAATTTAATTGCTAAAATGCAGTTCATAGACAGAACTGATCTTTCTTCACTTAAAATTTGCCAGCAGTATGTGTATAAACCCTGTGCCAGGTGGCACCCGTAGCTCCAGGGGAAGGAAGCTGGCCACATAAACCAAGGCTGGCGGGTTCGAATCTGGCCCAGGCTGGCTCAACAACGATGACACCTGCAACAAAAAAATAGCCAGGCATTGTGGTGGGCGCCTGTAGTTGCAGCTACTTGGGAGGCGGAGGCAAGAGAATCACTTAAGCCCTAGAGTTTGAGGTTGCTGTGAACTGTGACGCCACGGCACTCTACCCAGGGTGACAGCTTGAGACTCTGTCTCAAAAAAACAAACAAAAACCCCTGTACCAATCCATGGTTCTGGAAAAGTCAGAGCAGAAAGAGGGCCTGTTGCTGTGGTGGGTTTGGGGGACACTGCAGGACATGCCGAATTGCCCTTTTTTCCCGTCATCCAGGCAGATTAGAGCTGCTCAAGTCTAATCTTTCTGAACTGGGGGTTATTACTAGCGGCTGGAGTACAAGCCCTGGAGTATAATTAAGCCGGTCTCACGGTTTAAAACCAGCCTCTGACTGCTGATTACGGAGCACAGTAAATCCCGTGGCAAACTTGGTCCTCTGGTCAGGGCCTTTTATCTGTGAGTTGCAGGCCGGGCCTCAGCGTGGCTCTGACGAGAGGTGACGTGGGAGGGATCAGGACTGGAGACAGGGCAGCGCTTTGAGCGGTTTTCCAGTTTTGATTTTCTATGATTTGTTTGTCTGGCTTTTAGGCTTCCTTTGATTCAGGAGGCAAAAAATGGGCTTTAAGTTGAATCTCTTGAAAACATCCAGCCTTTGCTGGTCAGGCAGGGCTTTTGTCTGATAGGAAAGGTGTTTAGAATGGAAAGGAAGCCTGTGGGGCAGGGGGGTGCCCTTAGCAGAGCTCCTTGGAGTCACAGCAGCTCGAGGACACAGAAGGTGCAGCCAGCCGTCTGGACCCCAGGAGTCACGGCCACGCAGAAGAGACAGGAGCTTCAGCCCAGAGAACCCTTGCAGGGAAAATTGGATCTGGCACCAGCCGAGCCTGCAGAGAATTGAGCAGTGAGATGCTGAGCATCAGACAGAGTCGGTCAGGAAGTTGCCAAGGGGAGTAATTGAGTTTCATGGCTCAGCCTTAGACTCTGAGGCGCTGATCCTTGGGAATGGATCCTAGTGCCCATTCCTTTATTTTGTGAATGGGTTTACCTCAGAGGGAATGATTTGCCCAGAGTCACATAGCAAGTTAATGATAGAATCAGAGATAGAATTAGAGATAGAAGCCAAGCGCCCATGCATTCAGCCAAGCTCTGTTTCCTGCTACCATAAAATCCGCGTGGAAGAGGAGAGGTGGGTGAACAGTCTCTACCAATTGTTTCACAAGCAGAGTAGGTGAAGACCGGGGAAAGGGTTTTTGACTGTGGTCTGCATTCTTTGGGAAATTGAAGACGAAAACCCAGGTTTTCTGGCATCGAATGAAGCAGAACTATTGTCTAAAGGACCCCCCAGAATGTTTATAATACTCCATGGATGACTTCTAAATTCTTTTCTTTTTTTAGACAGAGTCTCACTTTGTCACCCTTGGTAGAGTGCTGTGCATCATAGCTCACAGCAACCTCAAACTCTTGGGCTCAAGCAGTTCTCTTGCCTCAGCCTCCCGAGTAGCTGGGACTTCAGGCACCTGCTACAGTATCTGGCTATTTTTAGAGATGGGGTCTTGCTGTGGCTCAGGCTGGTCTTGAACCTGTGAGCTCAGGCAGTTCACCTGCCTCAGCCTCCCAGAGTAAAGTGCCATGGCACACTCATAGCAACTTCTAACTCCTGGCCTCCTGCCTTAGCTGCCCAACTAGCTAACAGATGCCCACATTGTGCCTGGCTAACTTGTCTATTTTTAGCATAGTCAGGGTATCACTCTTGCCCTGGCTGGTCCTGAGCTGAGGGGATCCTCCCACCTCAGCCTCCCGGACTGCTAGGATTATAGGCGTGAGCCACCGTACCCAGCTTCTCTCTAGGAATTAGAAAAAAAGAAAAACAAAACTAAAGACCCAGACAAGGAATATAAAAAGCGAGCCCTCACTTTTTTTTTTTTAATCTCCAAATAGAAAAGAGGGGGACATTCTAAGCAGATGCGGGAATGTGTTCACTGTCTCGTAGAAAGATGGTCAGATTGCTTCATTCTGTGTAGCTGTGCCCCACTCGTGTCAAAACCAGAGTGTTATTTTAAGTTTGAGCTATCAAAGTTTGATTTCGAGTCCCTGCCGTGACCCAAGATCATGGAGACACTCAAAGAAATTATTGAATTATGTGACTACAGCTGAGAGTACAGAAAAGGCTGGAATCAGTCCAGACTAGGAATCGGTGCCCTGTCAGACTCGGACTCCGTGGGATTCAGAAAAGAGAGGGCAGGAAGAGGGGGCAACTGGTGGGAAGACAGGACCGGAGGGGGACTTGGCCTGTGGTCTTAGAGGGTATGTTTGGTTTTCTCCTTACCTGGGCTCATCTTCCCCCCTCCCAAATAAAACCCCCACGAAATTCCAGGCACCAGTTATTCATTACACAGAACATCTTGCTTAGAACAGTCATAGGAATGTGGCCACAGCATCGACTTCCTTGAAGTCAGTGGGAAAATCGCTTCCTTTGGTGTGCCCCAGCTTGCCTATGCCGAGTGAATTTGGCAGAGGGAATCAGAGAAGAATGGCTGTCTTCATCCTTCTGTAGGGTAAGAACCTGGCAAACAAGGCTGATATGGACAGGCAATAATTACATAGCCACGGATCGTGTCTAATATAATTGAGGCCAAGGTCTTGTGAACTGGTGCCCCAGACAAAGCTCTTTCTCACGCAGTGGGTCCCTCGAGGCTTTGAGGTCTCTCCTCTTTTTTTTTTCTTTTTTAACCATATTTTGAGATGTAATATCTTCATTCAAATGAGAAAATATTTTTACACATCTAAGTAGAAGTAGACAAATGGGTGACATGAACCTAAAAAGGAGAGGTCCCCTTTCTCCCCAGCAGTTCTGAAAGGCAGCATTCGATAGGCTTTGATTTTCCACTTCTTTTTTTCCAGTTTGGAAAACGATGGGGAACGGAAACATTTTGTATAGGATTAAACAGGAAAAAAAAATTTTTTTTTTCCCTTTGCTTATTAAACAGAATTTTAAGATTTCTCATTCTTTTGCTTTTCTTTATTTTTTTTATTAAATCATAGCTGTGTACATTAATGCAATCATGGGGTACAATGTGCTGGTTTTATATGCAATTTGAAATATTTTCATCCAACTGGTTAACATAGCCTTTACGGCATTTTCTTAGTTATTGCGTTAAGACATTTATATTCTACATTTAGTAAGTTTCACATGTAACCTTGTAAAATGCACTGTAGGTGTGGTCCCACCAATTACTCTCCCTCCACCCATCCTCCCCCCTCCTCTCTCCTCCTCTCCCCGTTCCCCTTCTTCTTGGGCTATAATTGGGTTATAGCTTTCATATGAAAGCTAGAAATTAGTTTCATAGTAGGGCTGAGTACATTGGATACTTTTTCTTCCATTCTTGAGATACTTTGCTAAGAAGAGGATGTTCCGGCTCGGCGCTTGTGGCTCAAGCAGCTAAGGCGCCAGCCACATACACCTAAGGTGGCGGGTTCGAATCCCCAGCCCGGGCCCGCCAAACAACAATGATGGCTGCAACCAAAAAAAAAAATAGCCGGGCGTTGTGGCGGGCGCCTGTAGTCCCAGCTACTTGGGAGGCAGAGGCAGGAGACTCGCTTGAGCCCAGGAGTTGGAGATTGTTGTGAGCTGTGATGCCATGGCACTCTACCCAGGAGGACAGCTTGAGGCTCTGTCTCAAAAAAAAAAGAAGAGTACGTTCCAGCTCCATCCATGTAAACATCAAAGAGGTAAAGTCTTCATCTTTTGCTTCTCTAAGGACTGGCTGATGAGGAGAAGGCAATTCAGGAAATGATAGAAGTACAAAATGTAGGTAGTTTTGAAACTTTACACAAGCTTTGTTTTCTGTTTCTGAGATTGGCGGTGTTCACAGATCATTTTGCCATCACTTGTAACTGGGCCCTGCGTCTCTTTTCTTGGTGTTCTTGAACTCGTATTAGGGTTTTTGTCCCACTCTGCTAATCTCGTTTTTGTCTCACGTTACCACCTGCTCTTCTTTCCTCATTTATTCTTCATTTAGGAGTATCGGGGATGTTTTCAGCCCTGCTTCTAGTCAATCCCTGTCCCAGGAGTCTGTATCCCTGGGATTGTCGTAGAATAACATCACCGGGGAATGTGTTACATCAACATCTGTGTGTGTGTGCGTTCATGTGGCACATGTTGTTTTTATAGCAGATAATTAGAGAAAGTTCTATAATTTCTCTAATATTATAGGTGGCTGTTATCTATCTATAACAGGTGGCTGTTATCTAACTATATCATGACTTTCTCCTATAGATAAGAAAGAAGTACATTCATAGCCTATATGATGTGAATGGAATTGTACAAGTTTTTATTTAACTCATGTGTCTCAAAAGCAAAACACAAAACACTTTCCCCCGACCACTGTATTTTAAGTGGCCTTCTCCCGTGTGCACAATGTCAGATTTCTCTGTTTATTTTCCTTCCCTCACTTTTTACAACCTAAAAATATCTTCTGTTTAAATGTATTTCCTTATTTGTTATTGTTTTTCTAGAATGTTAGGTCCTTGAGGGCAGGAACTTTGTTTCCAGCTCGGGGTAGATGTCTATTAACTTTAAAAAATATATATATAATGAAACAATCAATCATTCGCTACACCCGAGGTCATGATGGCTCAGACGTCAAGTGTTTGGCTTTTCATATGATGGAGGCATGAATGATTAGCTGGTTTAAGTTTGCTTACTGTAAGTTACCAGTGAGGCCAAGAATAATCCTTTACTGTCTGAATAGTTGAAGAATTTTCTGACAAAATAAGAATTTTAAAATAAGATTTAAAATGTTTGCTGAGCACGGTGGCTCATGCCTGTAATCCCAACACTTGGGAAGGCTGAGGTGGGAAGATCACTAAAGCCTAGGAGTTTGGGGCTACAGTGAGCTATAATCACACCATTGCACTCAAGCCCAGGTGACAGGGCGAGACCCTGTCTAGAAAAAATAAATAATTGTTTATTTGCCGGTATCCTAAAGTTATTTCTCCATTCATCATTTACTCATTTAATACATTTGATAGAATGCTTACTCTGTACTAGTTACCAGGGACATAAAAATAAACAAGCTCCCTGTTCTGTAGGGGAGAGTCAGAGGAACCCATGTGACCCGGGGTTCCATGCACTTCAAAGGGATTACGTCTGAATTACAGTTTCTTTTTTTTTTTTTAAATTAAGTCTTATACACATACATCATGAATACATTTATGCACATGTGGAGTACAATGTGTTGATTTTTTTTTATACAATCTGACTTGCTTACATCAAACCAACATAGCTTTCGCCTCATTTACTTGATTATTGTGTTAAGACATTTGTGTTCTATACTTGACAGATTTGGACCCTTACAATTTGCTCCATAGGGGTGGTCCCGCAGTTTACCCTCTGTATCAAACCTCCTCTGTCCCCTCCCTTCCCACTCCATTTCTCTCCTTCATCCTGGGCTATAGTTGTGTTCTATCTTGCATAATAAAGTGTGAGTAAATGTAAAGTTGATTTCCTAGAAGTACTGAGTACATTGGATACTTTTTCCTCCATTCTTGAGATACTTTACTCAGGAGAATATGTTCCAGGTCCCTCCATATAAACATAAAAGAGGCAAAGTCTCCATCTTTTTTTAAGACTGCATACTATTCCATGGTACACATATACCACAATTTATTAATCCATTCGTGGATCGATGGGCACAGAAGCCCAAGAAGCCTGAGTTAGGGTTTCAAGGGAGAGGCTTCTAGGTTGGGACTGAATTAGCCAGTTGGTGGAGGGTGTAGTGTGAGTGGGAGGAGGACGGAGTGGGGGTTGGTTGGAGGAAGAGGGGAAAAATATGGTTCCAGGTGGACAAAATAGCATCTCGAGAGGGTCTGAAGCATTCGGGAGAAGTGGACATAGCTTTGCATGGAAAGGAATGTCGTTGTTCAGGTGGAAATTGGTGTGAAATGCAGCTGTGAGTGTGGGCAGCAGGTGAGATGTGAAGGGATGGTCAGGGTGATCCACTTGGCCTGGAGAGCAACAGAACCCACTGGAGGAACGTGGTCAGAGTTTTAGGGTTCCTGGGTGATGTGGTATATTTGGGACCGTCCGTCTGTCCGTCCATCCATCCATCCATCCATCCATCCAATGATCACTTACCAATTTCTATAGTTGCAATAGGAGTGGGTATAGGAATAGCTCAGGACAAAGCCATCCCTATTAATATACATATATAAAAGTCCCTCAAAGTGCACAGCTTGCTGCATGGCACAATCACTTAACACTTGTTTGTTTTTTTGTCCTTTCCTCCACCTCATGTCCCCATCTTAGAACAGCAAGGTCACCCTCTTCCGACAACTGCAGCAGATGACATACATCCTGATCGAGTGGCGGTCCCAGATCCTGTCTGGGACGCTCCCCAAGGATGAGCTGGCAGAGCTCAAGAAGAAGGTCACAGCCAAAATTGATCATGGGAACAGGTAAACCAGGGGTGACATTTGGCCGAAAACTAAGAAATGACGGACGTGTTCACCCTAAACAGTTCATACTGTTGACAATGAACTTTTATCTTAGAGTTGCCAAAGAATAATGCTCACTGCTCTCTTTTTGTCTTAGAAGACATTTAATTTTGTTGAAAAATTTTCAGCAAAATGGAGTGGCTCATGCCTATAATTCTAGCACTCTTGGAGGCCAAGGAGGTAGGATCACTTGAGGCCAAGAGTTCAAGACAAGCCTGAGCAACATAATGAGACTGTATCTCTGCAAAAAATAAGAAAAATTAGCCAAGAATGGTGGCACACTCCTATAGTCCCAGCAACTTAGGAGGCTGAGGAAGAAGGATTGTTTGAGCCCAGGAGTGCAAGGCAGTAGTGAGGTCTGATTGTGCCCCTGCCCTCCAGCTTATGTGACAGAGCAAGACCCTATCTCAAAAAAACAAAAAAAAAACAAAAAAAAAACCCCAACTTATAATCCCACTCGTTTAAATGTTACAGACTTTGCCAACTATATTCAGAAATAGCTGATGTAAACAGCATACACGATCCAGACTCAACCAATATTTATGAAATACCTCCTATGTACACTTCCCTTGGTTAAAACTTGATGAGATTGGGTTGAAATAGCTCTTGTCATTTATAGTTTATGGGTAAAGAAACAGACTAAATGAACTTAGGTGATTTACTTCCACGTTACAAAGATATTAAACGGGAAAACTTAAATTTGAACCCAACATTTTCGGCTCTGTGTCTAATGCTGTCTTCTAAGGGTTAAAAATTAACACGTCCCTTCCCTGCTGTTTGGCCCTAGTGCCTATGACCCTAGTGGTTGCACTGCCAGTCATGTGGCATCAGGCGACTTTTTTAAAAAAACGAGCTAATGTGGGTGAGGTGGCTTCCCACTGAGCATGTGCTGCCTCTGTCTTGGGGGCCTTGCTGCAGTGACACTGGCCTGGAGGTCCTCCCGATCTCAAGCACACAACGTTAATGTCCTGTGAATGGCGAACATGGCATGTTAGGAAATGATGCTGTTCTATCATCATATCCATGATCCAGTCTCAGAGCAGCCGGCAAGGTCATCGTTCACGGGTCTGGGTGCCATGGAAAGGACCCTGGCGGATTCAATCTGCTGATGGAGACGCTGGGAAACAGGGAGAGGGAGATGAGGCGTATTTGCTTTCTTCCAAGAGACGTGGCACATTTCACTGTTACCCCTGAGTGTTCTTATTTGGACATCCCCACTTCCAAGTCGCTGGTGCCTGGAGCACACACTGGGCATTCAGATAGCAGTATCCTGTTTCCACCACAGTCCTCAACTTCTTGGAACTATGCAGTTTTTTCTGTTTCTGTGGGTGCATTGGGCATAGAAGCCTTGAGGGGAGGGATTGTACCCGCCCTGTGGCCCTTACAGATCCCGTGCAGCGTGCAAGGCTGCAAATTACACAGCCAGGTGTCTTCTTGCGCCAACTGCTGCAATAAGAGCTGACATTTATTGAGCGCTTGCTGTGTGCTAGCCATCGTATTAGGGCTTTAAATGCATTAGATCAGGCATCCTCAAACTATGGCCCGCAGACCACACGTGGCCCTCTTAGGACATTTATCCGGCTCGCCGGGTGTTTTTGCTGCCGCTGCCTGTCCTGCTTAGCAGCTGATTCATCCCGGGGCCTGCAGTCGGGCCCTCCAACAGTCTGAGGGATAGTGAACTGGCCCCCTATTTAAAAATATTTGAGGACCCCTGCATTAGATCATTAAATTCTCACAGCCACCTTGAAGGACAAGAAGTATTTGCATACGAAGAAATCAAAGCTTTGCAAAATTAAGTAAATTACGCAGGGTCACAATGGTTGCAAGCATTAAAGCCAAGCATTAGATCCTGGTCTAAACACCAGAGCCCAGGCTTTGAGATGGGTTATGAGATAGCAGGAAGCCAGGACTTAACTTCATTGATCCTCCTGTATGATAGTCTTGAATTAAGGAAATGAGGTCAAGCCCTCCAAGGATTGTGTGTTGGTCTTTCACAGATGTCCTGATGCCACGTAACAAAAGATGCATTGGTCAGAAGAAACCAATCAGAATCAGTGCTGGTATTACTTTTCTTGTTGAGGTTTACTTTGCATACTCTTATACAAGTTTGGCTAACATTCATGAGTTTTCTTAACACGGTGGATATATGGAAAGGTGGCAGAAATTGAAAGAATGGTCAGTGCACTGTTCTTAACTTGGCTCGTCCAGCTCTCGACCTTTCTCACCATGACTCCCCTGGGTTTTTACCTGAGGGTCCTTCAGAGAAGAATCTGCCCCTGGTCAGGAGAACCAGCTGACTGCTCCTTCCTTTCCAGGATGCTTGGGTTAGATCTGGTCGTGAGAGATGACAACGGGAACATTTTGGACCCGGACGAAACCAGCACCATTGCCCTCTTCAAGGCCCATGAAGTAGCTTCAAAAAGGATTGAGGAAAAGATTCAGGAAGAAAAGGTACCCTTTCGCAAGTGTGCAGATTCTGTCCCCTGGGGTTCCATTTTTGCTTTTTTTTTTTTTTTTTTGTTGTTGTTGTTGTTGTTTTGAGACAGATTATCACTTTCTCGCCCTCGGTAGAGTGCCATGGCAGCATCACCCAGCTCACAGCAACCTCCAGCTCCTGGGCTTAGGGTGATTCTCTTGCCTCAGCCTCCTGAGTAGCTGGGACTACAGGCACCCTCCACAACAACTGGCTATTTTTTTGTTGCGGTTTGGTCAGGGCCGGGTTTGAACCTGCCACCCTTGGTATAAGAGGCTGGTGCCCTACTCACTGAGCCACAGGTGCCACCCTGTTGGTTTCTTTTTTTTTTAATTTAGTCTTTTATTAAATCATAACTGTGTACATTTATGGGGTACAATGTGATATTTGATATACAATGTGGAATGCTTAAATCAAACTGATTAACATAACCATCACCTCACTTATTTTTTTGTGGTAAGACTTTATAGTTTAGTTGTTTTGAAATGTACCCTTGCATTGTGCACAGCAGGTGAGATCCCACCAAATGCCCTCCCTCCTCCCTCCACTCACCCTTCCTCCTTCCTTCCTTCTAGCTGGACTATATTTGTGTTTTATCATTCCTATGAATGTATAAGCGATTATATGTTGATTTCATAATAGTATCGAGTACACTGGATACTTTTTTTCCCATTCTTGAGATACTTTACTAAGAAGAATATGTTACAACCCCATCCAGGTAAACATATAGTGAGTCTACATCTTTTTATGGCTGTGTAGTATTTCATGGTATACATATATCACAGTTTGTTAATCCATCCATGGGTTGATGGGCATTTATGCTGCTTCTGCAACTTGGCAATTATGAATTGGGCTACGGTAAACATTCTGGTCCAAATGTCTAGAAGAACAAAAATTCTTCAAACTCATTTATGCCCTCATTTGAAAAGTAAAACTGAGCCAAAAGAATGAGGCAGCTGTGTATGTTCTGATAGGGAAAGATTGCAAATATATATATATGTGTGTGTGTGTGTGCGTGTGTGTATGTGTGCAGTTTTTGGCTGGGGCTGGGTTTGAACCCACCACCTCTGGCATATGGGGCTGGCACCTTACTCCTTTGAGCCACAGGCACCACCCGGTGGTGGGCTTTTTATTCCCCATTTTGCAGGCTGACTCCGTCACCAGCATCTCCCACTTGCTGAAACCGAGATGTTTTTCTCTCTTCTCCTCTGTGTTCAGTCGATGTTGCAGAACCTGGACCTGCGAGGCCAGACCATCTTCAGCACCATCCACACCTACGGCCTCTACGTGAACTTCAAGAACTTTGTCTGCAATATCGGGGAAGATGCAGAGTTGCTCATGGCCCTCTATGACCCCGACCACTCCACTTTTATCAGGTACCGGAGACCCAGATCCCCCGCCGTGGACCTTGCAAAAGAGACCCAGCCTTCAGCTACACCCTCCCCGAGGAGCTCTTGGCTAGATCTGAGAAGAGGAGATAGAAAAGAAAGAGGATTACTAACTAGGCAATAGAAAGTAAAGTCCTTGGTGGCACCCATAGCTCCATGGGTAGGGTGCTGGCCACATGCACCAAGGCCGGCAGCTTTGAACCTGGCCCAGGTCAGCTAAAATCAACAGTGACAACTGCAGCAAAAAAATAGCTGGGTGTTGTGGCGGGTGCCTGTAGTACCAGCTACTTGGGAGGCTGACGCAAGAGAATCGCCTAAGCCCAAGGGTTGGAGGTTGCTGTGAGCTGTGACGCCACAGCACTCAACCGAGGGCGGCATTGTGAGACTCTGTCTCAAAAAAAAGGAAAAGGACAGCGCCTGTGGCTCAAACGAGTAGGGCGCTGGACCCATAGGCTAGAGGTGGTGGGTTCAAACCCAGCCCCTGCCAAAAAAAAAAAAAAAACACCTGCAAACAAATGGAAAATGAAGTCCTTTATGCTATTAAGCCTATAGGTATCAGTGCTGAAAGAGAGCGGTCACGGTTTGTGGAATTTAGGGATCACATAAAGCTCATCAGGAGAGTTTTGGTGACAGGAACAGAATTCAGAAGGCCGTAGGGGAGAGGGGAAGAGGGATGAGCAGGTGGAGAGAGCGGATGTCGCGGCAGTGGACCTGCTCTGCAGGACACGATGCTGTACTGGAGGATTCGTGTCATCGAGCTTTTGTCCAAACCCATAGAAGACGCAACACTGAGCTGGAGGCTCTGATGTCAGCAGAGGGCTTTGCCTGATAGCGATGTGTCCCTGTGGGTTCATCAGCGCTAACAACTACATCATGCTGCTGCGGGGGCTGGTGATAGCAGAGAGGGTCACTCTATAGAGAGTGCTGCATGGGACTCCATACCTGGAGCCCAGGTTTGCTGTGACCCCAAAACTTCTCTAAAAAAGTAAAGTCTATTAAAAAAGTATTTTCAATACTGTAGGAATGATAAAGGCATTGTTCAGCCCTTGTGCTGGCAGTGGGGCTGAGCCCCTAAGAAAATGTAGATTTATTTTTGAGAAGGTAATTAATGTTAAAGGTAATTAGTGACTAATTGTTCGTCTCTTTAAAAAGATTTTTTTTGTACTGGGCACTCGCCTGTAATCCTAGTACTCTGGGAGGCCAAGGTAGGTGGATCCCTAGAGCTCAGGAGTTTGAGACCAGTCTGAGTAAGAGTGAAACCCCATGTCTTAAAATAGCCAATTGTTGTGGCAGGTGCCTGTAGTCCCAGCTACTTAGGAGATTAAGGCAAGAGGATCACTTGAGCCCAAGAATTTGAGGTTGCTGTGAGCTATGATACCATGGCACTCTATCAGGGATAACAGAATAAAACTCGATCTCAAAAAAAAAAAAAAAAAAAGATATGGGTTCCAGACCCTGGATAGGACAGTCTTAATCATCTCAATCATCATTTTTTTTTTTTGCAGGTGGCATTATGGATTATAGGGGGTGGATTTGGAATGTCTGTTACACAATAATTAAAATTTTAATTCAGCAAAGCTGAAACTTTTATGTTTATATTTTTATTTAATTTAAATAAATCTTTAATTCAGCAAAGCTGAAACTTTTTTGCTTTTATTTTTTAAGAATTTGGGATGGAAGGACATCTCCAGATAGTAGAATCCCCTAAGAACATCGGTGTCAGCTCATCTCAAGTAGTGTCTGTGCTGGGTCTGTGTGGGATCTGCCCTTTGGAGTGGCAGCAAGGACTCCCCTCTAAAGCCAGGTCACTGTGAGTGGCCGTTTATGTGGAGTCAGTTCCCTCCTCAGGTCCCTCCACTTCTGCCCCCTGAGTTAACTACTGGAGCGTTCCAGTCCCTCCCTGGTACCTTTGGGAGTCTGTGCTAAGGGCAGCCTCCTTACCCAGTTGGCCTCTCATTCAGAATACTTTTTTTCTTTGCCAGTGAGAACTATCTGATCCGCTGGGGCAGTAACGGGATGCCCAAGGAAATAGAGAAGCTTAACAACCTTCAGGCGGTGTTCACCGTAAGTCCTACCTTCTGTGTTCTCATCGCCCGCCCATTTATTCAGCAGGTGTTTATGGTACACCTACCAGACGTCAGGCACTGCTGTAGGCACTGAAGCTCTATCCGTGAGCCTATCAGATAGAAAAAACCCTGTTCTCAAACAGCTTTTGTCCTGATGGGAAAGGCAGATAATACCCAGTAATCAAATCAATGTGAAAATTATAGAGAATGTTAGAAGTCCTGAGTGTTGTGGGAGGACTAGGGTGATGTGGGCTGGCGGAGGGATGCTGTTTCAGTGTGCTGGCCAGGGCAGGCCTCTGAGCGAAGGAATCATTGGAGCTGGAGTATGAAGGGATTAGAGTGTGGTCTGCAGACAGCTGGGGGAGAAGACTCCAGAACAGGTTCTCGGTGGGGCAGAGGCAGCTTTTAGACTGGGTCGGCATACGTGTATCTGAGCGGGCTTTCCCTCTCATCCAAAGTGCTGCTGCCTGCAAGGACATGTTTGGGGCTGTAGTTTGGGGTAAAGTAACCGTTTCTTTCGGAATAGGAACCTTTGGGGGGGTAGTCTTCTCTCACTTTTTCTTGACTTCAGGGCTTCTCATGCTATAGAGCTACTCCCCTGCACATTTGGATGGAGGGAGAGACACGCCTGCTTCATTGCTTCTGTCCTTGAGCCACATGTGTGTCTTAGGCCCCTGATTCTGTTCCCACTTTCAGAGCTGGGAAAGCAGAGTCTAGGGTAATGTGCCGCGGGAAGTGACAGGAAGGAGCAGCCGCCCCTCGTTTTTATTCCTCGTTTTATTCCTCGTTTTATTATGGCAGCATTCCACCGCCCGGAGAGGCCTGGGCTGTTCCTGTCCCTGCACGGAGTCACCTGTGCCAACTGTGCCTTCACCACCCAGGACCTGCAGACAGAAAAGTTCCTAGAGCTCTTTTTGAAACCTCTGCCAGAGCATTTCCCCAGTTCTACGCTGTGTGGACTTTTCCCCTAAAATTAAAAGGCATTCACTGGGCTTCATGTACACGTTTTAAGAAGCTCACATTACGAACGTTACTGTAGACCCTTCAGCCCATCTTCTAATCAGTACTGTTTGAGAACAGCTGCCCTTTATCCCCCTCCCCTTCACGCAGGATCATCTTGTACGGAAATGTCACATCTAGCCTTTTCTATTAAACAGAATGTGGTGACTGTTTCCTTGGCCATTAGACAGCCTCATTTATAAATGATCATGTATTACTTAGTAGTGCACTAGTCTCCCCTTATCCACAGTGTCGCTTTCCGCAGTTTCAGTTACCTATGGTTGACCATGGTCCAATATTAAATGGAAAATTCCATGTCTGTGTTTAACCCTGTGAGCCATTTTGAGTAGGTTGATGAAATCTTGAGCCATCCGGCCTCCCTGCCTGTTAGTCACTTAGGAGCCTTTGTGGTGACAGATGGACTGTCCCCCATCACAGTGCTAATGGTTGGGCCACCCTTACCTGATAATGGTGCCAGAGCACAAGAGGAGTGATGTTAGCCGTTCAGATATGCCAAAGAGAAGCTGTGAAGAGCAAGTGAGAAGGTGGAAGTTGATCGTACGTGTTACCAGTGTAGGAAAGAATGCCGTATGGGTGGGGCCTGGTACTACTGTGTTTCCCCGAAAATAAGACACTGTCTTATATTTATTTTTTCTCAAGAAGACACACTAAGGCCTATTTTCAGGGGATTTTTTTGTTTTTGCAGTTTTTGGCTTGAGCTGGGTTTGAACCCGCCACCTCTGGCATATGGGGCCGGCGTTCTACTCCTTTGAGCCACAGGCACCGCCCAGGATGTCTTATTTTTATTAAGCATAATACAACAATCTACGTTTATTTAAATACAGTTAAGTCATCTTCTTCTGGAACTTGACAGGGGGAGTTGACCTTGTTGGTGGGGCTGGTGCTAGTGATGGGTGAACTCCTTTCCCCTAGCCGTTCACTGAGGCGCAATAGGATGCCTGCAACCATGGTTACCACACACGCACCGCACAAGTGCTAACGGCTCGGAGAAAGGAGCTGTGGCACATAAAAGGTATTCCTCTTCCTTACCGCCGAAATGCAGGGCGTGGCTGTGCAGCATATTTCCATCACTAGGTCTTATTATTGGGGTAGGACTTATATTTAACAAATGCATAGAAATCCTGCTAGGGCTTATTTTTTGGGTAGGTCTTATTTTGGGGGAAACACGGTATCTGTGGTTTTAAGCATCCCCTGGGATCTTGGAACACGTCCACCTGGGATAAGGGGAGGCTGCTGCATCCATATTCCACAGTTTATGTAGCTGGTTACCTGGTATCTTTATTTTTTCTATTAACAAATCTTGCAGAACTTACAGTAGAAATTCAGGACAGTGATATCATTGGTACCTATTCCTGTGTTGGCGATGTGAGTTAACTAAATTACAGGGAATGGATTTGGAGTGATTACTTTTAAAGTAATTTCTGATTCGGTAAATAGGCCTTGGGCAGCTGTTTCATAAAACCAATTTGGGGCTGCAATTAAATTATTCCTGATGTTAAATTGAATGAGATACGCAAGCCCATTCCCAGGTTTACTCGCCCCTCCTGAAGAGTACAACCAAGTGTAGAATATTAGCCACAAAAAACAAAGACATTTCATCTACACTTTGCTCATCATTCAACATGTAACAAGACACTTTCAATGGGTATTTCTCATAAGTCAGGGGAATGATTATAGAAAGCTGGGCTTGGGTTATTGTTGTCTCTGGATTGGTTTGAAGATGAAATGAAAAGTCACAGATTTGTGCGGCTACTCTGTAAATGTCAGTGTGATGCAAACTTTTATTTTATTTGGCACCAAAATGCATCCTGTACTGAGTTAATGTCCCGGAAGGATGTATAGTGGTGACAATGAGATGTCCTCTTTTCAGTACTCACCTTGCTAAGCTATAAATGTTAGATCAACTAGGAACTGATTTGTAAATTGGAAGCAGGAACTAGGGAACGAAAAAACACTTTCTTATGAACATAAAATCCTTGTCTCTGGGCTCGGTGCCTGTGGCTCAGATGGCTAGAACGCCAGCCACATACACCTAAGGTGGCGGGTTCGAATCTAGCCCGGGCCCGCCAAACAACAATAACAGCTGCAACCAAAAAATAGCTGGGCATTGTGGCGGGTGCCTGTGGTCCCAGCTACTTGGGAGGCGGAGGCAGGA